CTGTTTCCTTTGCCACCACCAAATGATCAAGTCTTTCAAAAAAAAAAAAAAAGCACTTCTTGTCTACAGCCATGCCACCCTAAATGTGCCCGATCTTGTCTGATCTCGGAAGCTAAGCAGGGTTGGGCCTGGTTAGTACTTTAATGGGAGACCACCTAGGAATACCAAGTGCTATAGGCATTAAAAACAATAATAGTAAAAATTAAAATAAAAATAACATCTGAATAAACTTTGAATTTTTTTCTGAATAGTTAACATTTATGAGGGGAAAAGCACTACTTTATCTCAGCACGTTGAAAGTTTTGATGTTTGAAAAATTTTCATGTTTTGTTACTAAGATTCCTTATTTTTAATGATAGATGTTATTACTTGCTTAGCATCTTTTCATTTTAAACTATATCAGTAACTATTTGCATAGACTTAATGGTCTGGCCAGGTTGATTATATTACATATAGCTTGAAATTTTTATTGTCCACCCAGTGATAATTATTGAATATTCTAGATTTAACAAGTACGCATTTTCTTATCTTGGTTAAATATGTAAGTTAATAAATATACTGGACTTTTTTTTTTTTTTACTTCTTTCTCAATTACACAGTTTTCCGATTCAGAATGTGCCAAGAAGGCTTTGGAACAACTTAATGGATTTGAGCTGGCAGGAAGGCCGATGAAAGTTGGACATGTTACTGAACGTACTGATGCTTCCAGTGCTAGCTCATTTTTGGACAGTGATGAATTGGAAAGGACTGGAATTGACCTGGGAACAACTGGTCGTCTCCAATTAATGGCAAGACTGGCAGAGGGTGCGTTTTTCTTAGTGATTGGGGGGAAGCTGGGTATGGTAATGAGAAAAGTAACCATGTGGACTAGTAAATGGAAAATGATTTCTTATTTTGGAGTTGATGTTCTCCTTGGGCAGCACTTATGTGTAGTTGATGGGGAGTTCCTTGCCTTAAAGTTTTAATGGAATCTATGGTGGTGCAGTTTGAGAGCAGCATACGTTAAAAGATTTATTTTGCTTTCTGTAAGAATTATCTTTTAAATTACATCTTTACACTTCAGAATAAATTTTGTTGTAGCTCTTATACCATGTGCTGCTTGAAGTTTAGTGAAGCGGCTTTGGTAGTAATTACCCAGAAAAATAGGCTTTTCTGCTCTTAACATAGTAAGGACTTTAAGACCTGTTCTTTTACAGGTACAGGTTTGCAGATCCCACCAGCAGCACAGCAAGCTCTACAGATGAGTGGCTCTTTGGCATTTGGTGCTGTGGCAGGTAGGAATTGAATCTTTTCTAATTTGAAATCATTGTTTTTTTCACCTAATTCGAAAATTTGCCAAATTTTTTGCATTTAAAAGGACTTACTGAGAATTCAATTCATCAAGTACTTTTTTTAGCCTATAAATTTCAAGAGTTCATGTAAGGAAGTGGAGATATAGGGCAGAATGAATCAGTAATCATAAGCTGTCAGAGTATTGTACTTGAACCCTGCACACCAGTTTTTAGTTGAAATTGCAATGAATTAGACATTTCAAAATACATCAGTTTTACTAAAGCCCGAAAAGTTTATATTGCTTCAAAGAAAAAAATTTTTTTGTAATATTTAAGTTCACAAACCTACCCAGAGGCCTTTAAATCAAGCTTTATTGAAGTATAGAATCAACAGTGCAGAGTAAACTGCTTTTCTCAATAGTGGTTATTATTTTGAGATGTTGAAGTTACAAGATAAAGTTCCTGGAGAGGGCAGGAAGGTTGGAGAGAATTGAATTTATTACAGTTATGTAACGGGGTTCGGTTTCTGAAATGCATTGATTTTCTCTTTTTTATGGCTTAATTTTGTGAGTTTTCATTTATAAACTTTTATAATAGTCCATATCTACAGGCTAGAATAACATTTAATTTTGAAATGTTGAAGACTTGCTTTTAGAACATCTAAGCACTGTATCGTTGACCAAATATGACAAAATAAAAAGTATGGCAGTTTCTATTACGAATTGGTTCTTTGATTTTATCTATAAAGCGAGACTAAAAAATTTGAGATGATGGGGGATTTTCAGTGTGTGCGCTTTAATTTTTTTTTAGTGGGTACTCAGAAGTTTCTGAGTACCTTTAGAAATTTGCCTTAGTATGCTGCACTTCTGTCAAATCAAATGATTTATTTTGAAATCTGATAGGTAGTTATTTAAAGTTTCTGACAAAACCATGCCAGGAAAAACCATGAGAAGAAAAATTGTAACCACTATTTATTTTGACTCTTTAAACAAGTATTAGACATTTAATTTCTTTATAGTGAACAAGTAGTCGTAGATGTCCCTTGGTATAATTGATATTAAAGGAAATACACCTTAGTCTGTAGTTTGAAAATTATAAAAATTATTGAATCTGAAAGCTATGATTGTGTTGCTTCGCATTATTCAGATCATTCTTTCAATAATTTAGAAAATGTCTGAATATTTACTATATTCTAGGTAATTCACGAAAGGCCTAGTGAACAAGATTGGTTCCCTGCCTTCAGTGATTTTTTGCAATGACATAACGATTATTGATTTCTAAGCAATCTTAGGTTATATCCTGGATGATGTATCAAATACATTGGTATGATCTCCTATGTTAGACCTTATTATCTTTAGCCATTTCTCATATGATTCATGCTATATGACACCTCTCTAGGCACAAACATTGTGTAGCTTATTGTGATCAACTAAAATTCTAGAGGTCCACATGGGTTCTGAAAATAGCCATTTACATATCATTACTCCTTTTTAGTGTTTGTAGACATGATTTAAAATTTGACGCTTTTTTTTATACTCCCATAAATTGTGTTGCTATTGAGTTAATAACCACTCAATTTTTAGGTAAAATGTTTATGTGATGGGTGTTTTTCTCCAGATAGTCATTATTAAAACCATACTTGTTAAAATTAAATTGCTGAGTGTTAATGTGGTTGAGGCCCTTATCCCCCGAGTCTTTTAAAGCAATTTTTTGAAACCAAGTGTGGGTCATCCCCATTACCACATGTCTTTATTCTGGAAGTTTAATAGATTCTTTCTAAGATAGGATCGTTACCTTTATGAAACCCATGCTTTGTTTTCCTGCTTGTCACAAATGACCTAAAAAATAATTTTTGAAATTTCGATAGGGATTTATTTACACTTAAAATAGCATGGATTTCTGATATCTATACATTTTTTCCCATTTTAGGAATAAAAAAGACAAATTGTGTTATAATTTAAAGTTTATTGACAATGTTCCTATGGTCATATCTTCAAGTTCCTTCAATACACACCAGTTACTTTTCTTCAACTCCTTGAGATGTCAATTTTGAGCACCTAGGACCCAGGTATACTTATATCCCAACGTAACTTGGGCTGTAGATCCCTTTTCATTTTTGCCCATGATTTATCATTTTCTGTACTTGGCAAGGAACCCAAATTGTATTAAAGTGTTGCAGTTGAATTACATGTTAATGAAAATCTAAATTTTCTGAATCTAAATTTCTATGTTTTATATTTCTGTAACTTGAATTCTAAGATAGCTTTTCAACACCGGCATATCCTTTACTATTCAGACTTACTGCTGTTTTCAGTTACTAGCAGTTTTCTCTTAATTTTCTTTTCAATATAGAAGTGTTAATGTGATGATATGACAAAATATATTGGTAAAAATTCCCATCCTATTTATTTTTAGTACTGGCTATAGATGGCTTAAATTTTCTTGTCCTTCACAGATTGTGGTAAACCCAATTAGATTTTTCCTGCCTTAATAAATTTCCAGACTAGGCCATGAAACTACACCCAAATAAAACTCACCTTTGGGCTGGACTGCACTGTTTATTTTAAATCTTTATTTTTTTATTTTTTATTAAGTTAATTGGGGTAACATTGGTTAATACAATTATAATTTTCAGATGTACATTATAGTTTGACATCTATATATTCTATTGTGTGATTACCACCCAAAGTCCAGTTTCCTTCAGCTACCAAATATTTGATCCCCTTTACCCACTTCACCCTTCCCCCGTATTTTTGACCCCCTTAATTCTGTCTACGTCTTCCCTCCTCCCCCTCCCCCACCCCCTACCCTCTGGTAACCACTAGTCCATTTGGACTGTTTAAATCTTAAAAGCACTTTAAAAATTGTGTATACATACAGTTAGAATGTTGTTTTCCCACTGGGTGATATTCCTACTACTGAATTGGTAGATTAGTAAAAGTGTTTACAGCTGTTTGATGTGTACTATTGCAAGGATTACTGATTTTTAACGAACTTTGAAAGTTTAAAATGCTTATTGCCACTGATACTTCAAGCAATAAATAGTTGACTATCCCAAGTACTTGGAATTGAATTCTCAAGATCAGGGTTTTCATGTATTTTCTGACCGGTGTGCTTCCCTTTCCCCATTTCCCATTATTCCCATGTGCAGAGTAGTATAGTGGAATACATTAGAGATGTGGAAGAGTACTAGGAATAGGAAGAGAGAGGCATAAGTAAGTTTCATAGGATAGGAGGAAATAAGGCCCCAAAGCCTTGTCAATGAGGAATGGGGAAGGAGGTTTGGCTGCCAGGTTTTACTATAAGTTCATTTTCATAAACCCTGCTACTGTAGTCCTCTTTTATTAATGCTTTCCTGACATTTACCCTGTTAGTTGAGGCTCTTCATTGTTCCTGCACTGAGCTGTAGAATTCTCTTTTGTTATAGATTTGCAAACAAGACTTTCTCAACAGACTGAAGGTGAGTTGAGCTCTTTATTTGTCTTTGAAATAGATGTAAACGTAGCAAGACATAGTTGTTTATATTTATTATGGTAGTTTTTAATTTGAACCGTTTGGGAGAGTGAGATATAGTGTATACATACAGTAAGCTATCTGTTGTATGTGTCAGAAGGCCTAATCAAAATTATTACAGTTGCATAGATAAATTAAAGTGTGCTTTTTTTACTTTAGCTTGCTTAGAATTATTTTCAGCCCTGTATACTTATTTTTGTGTTCTGATTGTTAGTTTTATATAGAAGTCAGAAAATGAAATTTGTTTCGTTTTAGTAGACAACTCTTTCAAAACAGAGTCTGTGAACTTAATTTAAAATTTGGAAAAACTGACTCTTAACTCCAGTGATTTGTTTAAGCAGTACCAAGTAATGAGAAAATTAGACTAAACTGCATGCAGGTTTCTGAGATTGAAACAGTTTGTAAAGTATGTAATTCTTTTTTTTGTTTTTAATTACTATGTAAATATCTGCCATTTATTTAGAGCACTTTGCTATGGAGCAAATTATTCTACATGAAAAAGGTCTTCCACTTCCTTGATAGTCAGGAATTAAATGTATAATTTTCCCAGGAAATGGGACAAATTGTACTCAGTCCTTTTTTCTCTGACATTTTAAAAAGAACTAGTGGGTTTTGGTATTAACTACATTTCTATGCCGAATTCATTGTGTTCTGCATTCATCTAGGTTGAGCCAAAATATTTCTATCATACATTTTCTAAATATTTTTCAGTATTCATAGTACATTATCATAGTTGAGTAAGTGGAAAAATAAAGTCCTCAGTTGATGTATAATTTACCTAGGGTTGTTTCAAGCATACTTCCATTTGTTTGTGATAAAGTACATAAGCAGGTTTCAGTTTTTAATTGTAATACAGGCATGGTTGCATTGTTAATTTTCCCCAATAGAACTTGACATGTTAACTTAGCATTTTTATTTTAATATAAAACTTTATGAAAATTAAAAAAAAAAAACACTTGTAATTCTATCAGAAAGTCATTTTTTAATGATGTATTTCATGCACAGCCATAATTTTAATTCAGTGGAGTATTTCTGATATTTCCTCAGGTGAATGTTTAATTACCATAATTTCTAATGCGCTGTTTTATCCTTAGCTTTGTTTGTTGTTGTTATGTATTGGAATGAAATTTGATCAAATGTTAAGATTACGGTGAGTTGTATAACAGCTACTGCTAATGTTTTATAAATCACATAAAAACAATGGAGCAGCTGTTTTGGAAAATGCTCTTCAAACCTAAAATCAATATGGGTTTTAAATGTTGCTCCTAAATATTTAAGTCTGTAGTAGTTTTTTAACAAAAAAATGACTATTACAGATGTAGTCTTTTTAGTGTTTCTTGTGCTCAGACTTAATCATTTATTAATTTGATTTTATAATAGGACTTATCATAGAATATTAAATTTCAAATGCTTCAATTATTTTATACATCTTATTTTTAAAACCTAATTATTTTATAATGTTTAAAATTAAAAATAAGTAACTTATTCGTTCATGGGCAGAAACCTAAGAAATACAATAGGGTATAGATTATTTGGCATACAAAGATTATGTTTTTGTCATCCCCTGCCTCTCCTGGTATAAACTCAGTCCTGCAAAATCATTTTTTCCATTTCATACTTTGCCTTTCTGGAGATAGATTTATATTGATATTTGTGTAACAATTTTGATTGCATGTAGACCTTACCCCTCTAAAAACAAAACTCCCTACTTTCTCAAGATTGGCTACTTTAAATATTACATTGCCTTGGTTTTCTGGCAACTAAAATGGGGTAGTTACATACTTTAATTGCATTATTAAATAAGATAAATTAGTGATGTGGCTGACTTGACTGCCCTGCTTTAATGCTTTGGGTTAGTGGGTTTTGGTTTTATTTTATACTGATGCATTTTCCATGAAACTAATTTCTCTCTCTTTTTTTTTTTTAGCTTCAGCTTTAGCTGCAGCTGCCTCTGTTCAACCTCTTGCAACACAGTGTTTTCAACTCTCTAACATGTTTAACCCTCAAACGTAAGTAGTATACTTTGGTCAAGTTCAGAAGGGTGTACTGTAAAAGCTTTAATATTTAACTTTTCTAAATTAACTCTTAGGATATTCTGATATACTTAATAATTCAAACAGTGCAACCATTTTGATGGTCTTAGAACAATTTTTATGCATGTTGCTAATTATTTCCAGATTCTATGTTTTCCATTTATATTTGTGAAGCTTGTGTCAGTATTTATTTTGATTACCAGTTTATCGGTTTTTGGCTTTGAAACTTTAAGCTTATTTCAGTATAATAGCAGGAAAGTATTCAGATTTTCTTCTTTTGATTAGTGCTTGCTGTGAATTAGAAGTAATTCTTTCCTACTGCTTAGCTAGTGATTAGAATGCCATTCATTTAATCAGTCTGACATCTTGTTGGTTTTCTAAGTCATGTTTATAATGTATTCTAATATAAATATAGGATTTTTTGTTCAGTTAATTTGATAAATCAACCATCATATTCAGTGAAACATGTTTCCTACAATAACAATATACTTGAATAATTTGCATTCGTATTTGCAGTTTAGCGTAGACAACATTGGATTCTTGTATTCTGTTAGGTTTGTGTCTATGAAATGGTGATGATAAACTGTTGGTATGAGTATCATTTGAAAGATGCCAATAAATTAAATATTAGTGTTAAATTTTTTAATTAAAATGCATATTAAAACTTTTTTATATAGATGAGAATATATGTAACTTTTTTTAAGTTTGAGCAGTATCTAATAAAGTTTTAATTCTTACAGAGAAGAAGAAGTTGGATGGGATACAGAGATTAAAGATGATGTGATTGAAGAATGTAATAAACACGGAGGAGTTATTCATATTTATGTTGACAAAAATTCAGCTCAGGTATTGTGATCTTTTAATAAGCAAAAATAGGAAGTTGTCGCTCTCTTGTCTTAATCTTCACAGATACTTGGGTCATGTTATGATCAGTCTTAAGAGTTTTTTCCTTAAAGAATTTGCTTTAACATACCAACTAAATATATACCCTCTAAAATAAAGACACTTTCAAATAATTATTAGACTAGGCCATTGTGTAGCAGTGTTGCTGGTTAGTGTTAATCTTGTCATGAAATCCTGGCATTCTTCAGCTTTCAAGTTTTTGGGAGAGTAAAATATATTCAGTAAAATTTTAACTGTACATATTAGCTAGTGAAACAATTATGTGGTTATAGAGCAGTGAGTTTTCCTATAGGCAATTTGAATACAACTATTTGAATCCATGGTGTATATCACAATGCCCTTATCTCTATATTTTTTTAATTGTGCTTTAGGGCAACGTGTATGTGAAGTGCCCATCAATTGCTGCAGCCATTGCTGCTGTCAATGCATTACATGGCAGGTGGTTTGCTGGTGAGTTTGATCTTTTTTTCTGAGCAATTATTATTGAGTGTAATGAATCTGAGGATGTTAAACTACACATATCTGTTTCTTTCAACAGGTAAAATGATAACAGCAGCATATGTACCTCTTCCAACTTATCACAACCTCTTTCCTGATTCTATGACAGCAACACAACTACTGGTTCCAAGTAGACGATGAAGGAAGATATAGTCCCTTATGTACATAGCTTTTTTTCTTTCTTGAGAATTCATCTTGAGTTATCTTTTATTTAGATAAAAATAAAGAGGCAAGGGTCTACTGTCATTTGTATACAATTCCTGTTATCTTGAAAAAATAAAAATGTTAACAGGAATGCAGTGTGCTCATTCTCCCTAACTAGCAATTCCCACTGTATACAAAGCTGTTCTCTAGTTCTGCCTTTTAAATGTACATGTAGAAAATTACATTAAGGATCTATAGAAATAGCTCTAGGGGAACAAATGTGCTTAATGTAAAAAGGCAGACAGGGATGTAATGATGTTTTTAATGTTTCAGAAGCCTAACTTTTTACACAGCAGTTACATTTCTCATTCACTAATGTTGATATTTGGCTAATGGTTTAGCAGAGGTTTCTGGAATACACTTTTAGTGAATGGAAATTGAAGACAGCTAAAGGGCTGTTGATTAACATCTCATCTTGCATTCTGGTCAATTGGCAAGAAAAGGAGATTTCAAAATTAACATTTCTGGATGGTATCTTTTCAATTAATGTATCTGTAAAAGTTTCTTTGTAAATATGTGTTCTAGTGTGTCTAAGATTCCAAACAAAATGATCCCTGCATTTCCTCAAGATGTTTAGTGACAGTCTGGTAAGGAAAGAAATAGGAAATGCAGAAATAGGTTTTGTCTGGTTGCATATCTTTGCTCTTTTTAAGCTCTGTGAGCTCTGAAATATATTTTTGGGTTACTTCAGTGTGTTTGACAAGACAGCTTGATATTTCTATCAAACAAATGACTTTCATATTGCAACAATCTTTGTAAGAACCACTCAAATAAAATTCTCTTAAAAAGGCCATAAGAAAATCTTCATTTTTGAAATGTTTTAAAGTCATAGAAACTTGAAAATAGAATACTAGTTTCTTTGACTCGGTATTTGCCTCTTTGGGAAAATTCTTAGCATGCAGAGTCTGGATATATTTGCCCTCAAGTTGTCCCTGTAAATTGCTCCATATCACTATATTATAGTACTATAGTTATCTTAGGACAATGGATCAAAACTGAGGGATTTACCAAAAAGAATTCACTCAGGCCTTAAACCTGGGTGTTCTTAAAGTCTCCTGTGTTATCTGGGCATCTTGGTGAAAAAAATAAAAATAAAAATGCTTTACTATTTAAATACTGAACAAAAAATGGTCTAAATTCAAACTGGTTTCCCAAATTTAATTGCATTTTACTTTATTATGGGACTTTGAGCTTTAACTTGGGTAGTGAGCCTTCACCATTTATACTCTGCACTCTGCTTCAAATTCTGTCTACGTTGAAACTTGGAGTAGGCAATGTTGCTCCTAAATGGAATGATCACCTTCAAATACTGGTTTCCTCACCTTGTTTCTATTGATAGCGCTGATGCATAAGTTTTATAGGTTTATTCAGATAAGATATTTAATCAATTTGAGTATGGTGGCATCAGTTTTCCACCAACCATTTTGACATATTTAATCCAAAATTCCTTGCTTCAGTTAACTTGAACATTTTTAAAATTAAAAATGATTTTTCAACATTGGGCAGCAGTTTCTTGGAGCTGACTTATCCTGACAGTGTTTTCTTTCCAAAGTATCTCCATAATTAAACTTTTAATTCTTGAATCAAGTCCAGTCAGGTGGTCATTCTTTCTTAGGGAATTGAATTGGGTCAGCAGAGGTGGCCAATAGGGGTGGTAAAATTTAGCTAATCATCACAGAATGACACTTGGGTTGTAAATGATTAATGCAGATATAGGAGTTTGGTAACCAATGATGTGGTCCATAGAAAATAATTCAAATTGCTATTCTGACATATTTCAAGTAATTAAAATCTTGGGACAGCTTCCAAGTCTTTGGGAAAACTGTAGCTGCTGTTGGTATTCTGATGGTGTCCTTGATTTAGGCTGCATCTTAGTGTCATGTCCCAAAAAGGTAGCATTTTCTTAGATTCTGATAAGAGGCAGTGCACTTTATACTACAATATGTCAAGGGTGCTGTGTGGCTTGAGCAGGTGAGGGGCACTTATTACTAAACCTGCCTAATCAAGCCAACTACGTTGTGGGCGATGGGATCAGTTTATACAATTTACATCTTCATTGCTGGCTGGTTAGAATATCTGGGATGGATTCAGTTGAGAAGCTACAAAAGTAATGGTTTGTTTCATGGATGATTTGTTCTTTTTCTGATCAAGCCAGCAGCTATTGTTGGACAATTTTTGGATGAACAACATACCACTGGAAATAAAACTTAGGGGTTAAAACCCTTTTGCACTTGTGAGCTTAAGGAAATCTAGACTTCATAGCTTGTTTTCACCTTCCAAATGGTTTAAAAGCATCAACGTTAAAAGACTGAGTAATAAGGGTTTACTAGGATCTATGAAAAGTGCTAGCTAGGCATGCAAACATTTTCTAGCTTTGAATTTAACAGATTACAAACCTACCTGGCCCATCTTAGAAAATCTCTAACCAAGCTAATAGGCTCTGAGAAAAAATGCCTCCAACACACTCAGACTACTTAAAAGTCTTTATTATATAGTACATGGGCTGAGACTGATGGCAGGGGGTTGATGTGGGCACCCATTGCCCTGATTAGCATCGGATGCCCATCCCGATAGCCATGAATGTGCCAAAGGTGCCGCCACTCTGCATCATGGTTTTCCCGATGCCGCCCATCAGCTCCCGACCCCGCATTCCGATCCTGAGAGGAGGAAACCAAGATGGGGCCAGTTGCGAACGAAAGTACTACACCGGGAGATAACCTTAACTGCCCTTTTCCAATGTGTGCTAATGATGAATCACATACTCCAGAAGTCTTGCAGTACATGATCCCTTCCCACCTGCGGTTAGGGCAAGTTGAAAAGTATCCATAGGAGACTAGAGGACTTAACTGCCTTCAGTTTGTGGGAGGCAGCAAATACAGTGTAAAGTACATGGACAAGGAAACCAGTTTTTGTGCTGGGTTTACCTCCAGGGTATATGTGATCCAATAAAGACAGCTGTTTTGTTGACGGTTTCCTAGTGTTCAATGATTGTGGAATCATTATACAGGTTGTGTCAAGTGTAAAATGAGGATCATAACATTCGACAGTGATTGCCACAGTAAGTGCTCAGTAAATGGTAATTTACACTATGGAAAAATGGAAATAGTCTACCACATGTGAAAATGACATTTAAGGTGTAGAGTTTATCTGCTTATTTCTACATCCTGTTCTCAGTACAGTAAAATTGCTCGTTTCACTATGTGCAAATGGAAATAAGAAAATAGCGACAGTAGTAATAACCATTTATTGAGCACTTAATATATGACAGATTCTGAGCTAAGTGTGTTCTGACTTGATTCTTAAAACTATCAGAGTGATGTTAGTGACCTCATTCTAAACTTTAGGTAACCCAGGCTCAAATTGCCTAAGGTTACAGAACGAGTAAAGGCCAGAAGTTGAGTCAGGGTTTCATATTATCAAGCACTGAAGCTTCCAACTTGTCCTTCCACACTGAAGGTAGTTAAGGAAATCAGTCTCGCTCTTTAGTGGGCAGCGAGGGAACGGGAACAAGGCAGACTATTCGGGCGCAGGCCTGAGTGGAGTGGGGCGGAAAGTCCGGTAGTCCCGGCCATAGGTTACCACCCGCGCCCCTCACCTGAGACAGGAAAAGGTGCCGAAGAGCGCCCCGGCCGCCATGCCCACGGCGCAACCCATCACAAAGCCCATCTTCACACGGTCGAAGCAGCTAGGCTGGGACTGTCCATAGGGACCTACGGCCACCGGCATCTGCGGGGTTCGAGCGTTAGGGAAATGGAGGCCTAGCCGCAAGCCCGAGAATCGGGCGGGGGCCAGAGGAAATAGATGGGGGGTGGGGCGGGGCGGGCCCAAGGGTTCGGGGAAGTCCAGGAAGGAAAATCAGCAGTAGCCCGATTCCATCACCCTCTTAGAGTTCGGACCCCCGAGCCCCGACCTCACCTCGCTTGCTGTATCCGTCGCTCAGTTCCACGTCTCACACGGAACGCAAGGCGGAGCGCCGCTCGTGGCCCGAGGAATCGCTTCCGGGGCGCTGAGCAATACTTCCGGGAGTCCGTAACTGGGGACTGTAGCCGCTTGGGGCGAGGGGCTGTGCTACCGGGACCATGCTGCTGCGAACAGCTTGGAGGCGGGGGGCCGCGGCCCTGCTCTTGGCTCCCGGGCCGAAGCCCGAGGCGCTCGCTCGGGGTCTGCGCCTGCGCGGTACGCCCCAGGTTCCGCTTACTGCCACCCTTCCTGAAGACATTGACCCTTCAACTCTGCGCCGCTACGCATCTGAATATTCTTGAGCCTCCCTCTTCTGCTCGCTACCCAGACCCTCTCACCCTTCCCCGAGTCTGTACCCCTAACACTTTCTCAGGCCGGCCTTCAGAGAGGCTGACTTCGCCGCTTCCGCCTCAGATCGTGTCCCGCAGACCCTCAGCGGTTGAGACATGGCCTTCAGATCTCTGCGGGCCAACTTTTAGAGATGCTAGTCGTCCAGCCAGTAACCTTTGATGGAGATCTTACCTACTTTGTCTTCCCATTCCTTCTAAATGGCTTTGCCCTTTCAGAGTTCTCCCCACTCCCAACGATGCAATATGAATATTGTCCCAACATTCCTTCCAAGAACCCTGTCTCTGTCTCTTACCTCCTTTTACAGTTTGTTCAAATCCTTTTTTTTTCTCTTTTCATTGAGATTTAACTCCAGCATGCCTTAAACTTACTTCACCTCCACCCGCTTTTACCCTCTGCTCTCTTGGATACTGTGTCTATAGTTGCATCCCAACTCTCCCTTGGCCACTAGGTTTCTTTCTTTTTTTTTTTTTGTCAGTTACAGACCATGTTCCCCAGTCTACTGTTCCCTCAGATACAGCTACTGCTCCGGAGGTGGAGTCGGTGCTTCGTCCTTTGTATATGGATGTGCAAGCTACAACTCCTCTGGTAAGGATGGAAAGGCAACTTCTCCCAATGCTGTTTCTAGGAATTATATTGTAGAAGTGACAGTGTATAGAAATGGCTGGGTCCTTGTTGAACTAAGAGCCATTTAGAATTGTGTTGTGGGAAAAGCAATGAGCCAGAAGTTGTAGTCCACTAGAAATGGCCCAATTACTTAGTAGCTATTGATCTTGGTCAAATCACTTCAGAGCATGCACTGTAGTAGTATTTAAAACCTTGGGCTCTGGAATTAGCCAAACTGCTACTTAGTAGTTATGTGAATTTGGGCAAATAGTAAATGGATTGAGACATAAAGCAGCTTTTAGCAGCTTGGTACATGATATTAATGCAAGGTTTCACCAACATGGATTCTGTCACATCCTGGCCCCTTGAAGATCACATTTCTGGATTGGGGAATGCGAACACCTGCAGAAATGGCTGTCAGGACAAGGCCATGTTTGTAGATTACCTGGAGAGATGGTAGAATAGTCTAATTTAAGATAGATTGGGATTGGGAGTATATTAGGCTTATATTTGGTCAGGACAAGGCCATGTTTGTAGATTACCTGGAGAGATGGTAGAATAGTCTAATTTAAGATAGATTGGGATTGGGAGTATATTAGGCTTATATTTGGTTAGTAACTGAGGATCTGGAAGAATGTTTGAGGCTTGATCTAGGCAGTGTCTGAGGGAAGTGTGTTGAGGCAGATCTGAGGGAAGGAGTGGGTCCTGAGTTCTATGGGCTCAAGGAAACTGATCTATTCTGTTGTGCTCAGGACCCTCGGGTGCTTGATGCCATGCTCCCTTACCTAGTCAACTACTATGGGAACCCACACTCCCGGACACATGCTTATGGCTGGGAGAGTGAGGCAGCCATGGAACATGCTCGCCAGGTTAGTACACAAGAGTTTAGGAGGCACTGATGTCAGGGATTCAGTGGCCTGTGGGAGGCGTCTCCTTCCTGATAGGTGTGGGTGGAAGTAGAAATGGTTTGGGGCTCTTTAAGAAAGAGATTAAGAGAGCAGGCCTTGGAGTCCCTCTGAAGGCATTTGATTAGTCCCCCACATTTCCTAGCTAAATGACCTTTGGCAAGTTATCTAATTTCTCTAGGCCTCGGTTTCCTTACATTGCAAATGAGATTGTAATAGTTTCTACTCCTTATGGTTACTGGGTAGATTAAATGAGAAAGTGCTAATGATGTGTTTTCTTAAAAACATCATCATCATCATCATCCTCCTCATCATCATCATTATTTTATATTGGACTGGAAAAGAGCCTGGGATCTGGGATGTAAGCTTCTTGGGCAGTTGATAGAAAGCAGTGGAGCTCTTGCTTAGAAGCTCTGTCCTGGTTAGAGCCAAGTACTTGCCTGGGAAACTGATGTTGCTTATTTCTTTCTTGGCTTGCAGCAAGTAGCATCTCTCATTGGGGCTGATCCTCGTGAGATCATTTTCACTAGCGGTGCTACTGAATCCAACAATATAGCAATTAAGGTAAGAGAAGGGAACCAGAGGGCTTATTTGGGCTTTCCTGACTTGAGAGATGATGTCCTTCCATCATTTGGGCTCATATATGTATCTCCCAGCCACTCACTCCTCCTGTTGTGAAGAGAAAACACAACACATTCTTTCTGATTTGCTTCTTTCTTCAACCCTTTGCAATCTAACTTTAAGTCTTTGCTCCTATTGAACTGAATTCAGTAAGGAGTTAGATAGGAAAGGAGGTGGCTCTTGGACCATTAACCATTTGGTGTTTTGGATGGCAGCTACTTCAGAGAGTGGATCATGGTGACTTAACCCTTTTCCCTATGCTTTTGATCTAGTCACCATGAAGTCCAGAATGCGCTCGTAATTGGCATGTTTCTCAGCTTCACCATTATATATATGATTTCAGGGCTACCTTCCTGTCAGCCATACCTTTTTTTTCTTTTCAGGTATGTTTGCAACAAGTTCCTCCCTTTTCTTTAGATGTCCCCATTTTCAAGTACTCGTTGCTGTGGTGCCTTCTGCCAGCATCACTTGGTCACCCATTCTGGGATCGGTCACAGTGTCCATGGGATATATAGAACTTTGGTACTTAAAAAAGTAAAATTCCACTCTTACTCATGTTGGTGTTTCATAGAACATAATCATCTTTGTTTGGGCCTGGTAGCCAGCATCATCTATGTAAATGCTCAGGCTCTGATAAATTGTGGGCTGCTGTATGTTCAACTCTGGCTTCACCCTCTCTCACCATTGTCTTTCAACTGTGCTTCCAGTGTTGGTATTTTCTGACCTTGGCCTGACTGTAAGAGGTCTGGGACAGGCTCCAGAATCATCAACATTCTTCCTGGTCCTGTTAGCAGGAAAGTGTCCTTCCTTGGGACTGCAGAAACCACAGAGCCAGGGTGGAGGTCCCTTGATGGGGACGGTTTCAAAACTTTGAAAATGTTTGTTTTTAAAGTCTCCACAGATCCCAAAACTAGAGGGCAGAGATTGCTAAGAATAGTTGTGATGGTGTTTTCTTTAGTCTCCTGATGAGTAGAGTAAATGTCTTTCTACTGTTAGAGCATTCTGCACTGTGGGTAAGTGAGATTAGAGAGGGAGGCAACTTTTAAATGTTTTCCTTTTTATGTTTCTCATCCTTGAGAACATACAGTTTTTATGTAGTTATAATTTTGGCCTAATTAGTTTTACATTCTGCTTCTAAAGTGAGTATTATACGCTCTAGGTGGATGGGGTTACACATTTTATTTCTTTTAATTTTTAAAAAGTAATTCATGCATTTGCGTTAAGATTTTTTAACACTGTAGAAAAGTTTGAAACAAAGTATAAGTCTTCCTCTTCTTCCTCTCCTATTTTGACCCTATTCCTGCTCTGCAAAGTTAATTGTCAGTTCTAAACTGCTTCTTAAGATTGTTCCAGAAAAATTATCCATACATACGAATTTGCTTTTAATATTTTCACAAATTGTGGCATGCCATATTTATTTTTCTGTAACCATTTATAACATATCCTGTATTCTTCCATTTAAAACTCCATTATTAATATAATTACATTCTTTTTTATGGAATTGTTATCACAAAATTCATTGTTGTATTCATTTCTCTTATTGGTTATATTTCATCTTTCCATTTTTTAAGGATTGTAAGTATAACTACAGTATATTTTGTCTCTGTAGCTTTATCTAGCTTTTGAAATATTTCTCTAAGGTAAACTCCCAGAAGATGAATCACAGTTAAAGAATGTGAATACAGCTTTTAAGATATCTTTCTAAATACTTCTCTAAAGAGTTATAGAATAAATATTGGCATTAGCAAGGTATAAGTGTCTGAGTTTAATTTCTACAGTGCCAGCTTTGTGTATCAGTATCACCATATTTGCATGCTTTACTTTAAATACAAATAAAAGAGAGTGGCTTTTGCTTGGGATGCAAGAGTCCTAGGTATGTTCCCTATTTCCTATGTATTTGGTCTTTGTCCTCTGTTCCTGGTACAGAGCTTCAAAAACCCTTGGAGTTTCCTGAATAATGAGATTGTCTTTTGTTATTCAAAAGAAACCCCTTTGGACCATGCCTAGGTTTATGGTAACGAGGTGATTCATGGTGGGCCCTCAGTTTCAAGGGACAAGCTCCACTCCAGAAAAATCAAACATGCGATTAGAGCTCTGCTGCCCTCTGGGGAGGAAAGTGGAGCTGGAGATTGAGTTCAGTCCTGTGGCCAATGATATAATCAGTTGTGCCTATGTAATGAAACCCCTATCAAAACTCTGGACAACGAGGCAGAGGAGCTTCCAGGTTGGTGAATTCATGGGTATGCTGAGAAGGTGGTGTGCCTAGATTTTATGAGGAGAGGGCATGAAAACTCTGTGCCCCTCTCCACTCCAGACCTCACCCTATGCATCTCTTCCACTTGGCCGTTCCTGAGTTGTATACGTTATAATAAAACTCTAACCATAAGTACAGTGCTTTCAGTGAGTTCTATGAGTTGTTCTGGTGAATTATTGAACTTTAGGGGGCTGTGGGAAGCCCTGAATTTGTAGCCAGCTGGCCAGAAGTATAGGTGGATGGTTTTTGCCACCCAGGCTGGCATTTGAAGTGGGAGCAGTCTTGTGGAACTGAGCCCTTTAATTTATGGGATTTGCACTAACTCTAGGTAGTTAGCATTAGAATTAAATTGATTTGTAGGACACCCAATTGGTGTTGGAGAATTGATGTGGAAGCATACCACCTTTGCTCACTTTTCCTTTATAAATGGGATGAAAATCATTGCTATCTCTCTGAGTATATTCTTCTTCCTTCCACTACCACCAATTTCTAGGGGGTGGCTAGATTCTACAGGTCACGGAAAAAGCACTTGATCACCACCCAGACAGAACACAAATGTGTCTTGGACTCTTGCCGTTCATTGGAAGCTGAGGGCTTTCAAGTCACCTACCTCCCAGTGAAGAAGAGTGGGATTATCGACCTTAAGGTAGGAGTGGCTCTTGGCAGGAGGGTAAAAATTGGAGGAGCTTGGCTTCACCTTGTAAATCTGTCTCTTCGAGCTTGAAGGACTAGATCTAATGGTGAAGGTGGGGGCTTAGAGAAATAGGCCTGGCAGAGAAACCAAAAGTATGTTCCTGTTGAATATGTATCATCTTCCTTTTCTCTGGAAGGTGTGTTTCTCAGCTTTGTTGGTGCTTACTGGTTTGTATGGGAGTCACTGGGCATGTGTGCAGGATGCCAGGAGCTCATACTCACCATGGCAATGCTCTAGCTTCTTCCTCCCCTGCACTGATATCTCTCTTCCCTTTAAAGAGGTATAGTTTTTTAAAAGAATATTTCCCTTATGGGCCCATATCCTTATTTGTCCATTTTGGGTGTTAAGTCCAAGCATCTTGTCCACCAGATTTTGGATATTAGCATTCCTAGACAAATCCTAAGATGCAGTTTGTGGACAGAACCTTGTCATGTGCAAATAGAGATATTTTTACTTCTTCCTTTCCAACCTGGAGACGTTTTATTTCTTTTTCTTGCTTAAAATCCTGGCAGGAACTTGTAGTTGTTCCTGTTGTTAGATGTTACACAAAAGCTTTCAACGTTAAGTATGATGTTAGTTGTGGATTTTACATAGCTGTTCTTTCACAGATGTCTTTTATCAGGAAGTTCTCTTTTCTTAAATTATTTTTAATCAAGAAAGGCTATTGGATTTTTATCAGTTGCCTTTTTTGTGTCTGTTGAGATGATACTGTGTTTTTGTTCTCTATTCTGTTAACATGGTATATACACCAATTGATTTTTTTGTATATTGAATTTTTATTCCTGGATTGAATTCCACTTGATCATGGTGTGTGATCCTTTCTATGTGTTGCTAGATTTGGTTTGCTAGTATTTTGTTAAGGATCTTTGCATTTGTGTTCATTAAGGATATTGATCTATAGTTTTCTTGTGATATCTTTGCCTGGTTTTGCTATCAGGGTAACACTTGTCTCAGAATAGACATGATTGTAACCAGCTGTTTCAGTTTTACTGATCACTGCACCCTTCACAAAACCCTCCATGTCAGCCAGACTGCCTTCACATCTCTCATGTGCCCTGGCCAGTCCTATTTTGGGCCTGATCTTATATATCCCCTCACCTTTGATCTATTCTCCTTTTCTTTGTACTTACCTTAATTTTCTTCCTCTTTTAAAAACTCAAGCCTCCCCTCTTTCATAAAATCTCTTTGGCTGTTCCAACCCTTTTAATCTCTTTTCTAAATTCCCTCAATTACTTAAAGGCTTATTATTACTTCTATGCTCTGCTGTATACATATGTCTATCTCTCCACTAAGCTGTTTCTTGAATGCTAGGAGCACATATTTTCTGTATTTTTATTTTTCATAATACTTAACATAGTGTCTTTCACTTCATAGCATTTCTTGTGCCATAGTCCTAGGCATTGGGGATAGAGGGATGAACAAGACAAGCCTAGAGCCCATGTTCAGGGAGCTTACATTCTGGTGAAGGGGACAGTTAACATGTAAACAAACACATAAATGAAATAATTATGAATTGAGATAAATGCTATAAGAAAGCAAACAAGAAACTAAGAGAAACAACATTGAGAACCTACATTAGACCAGTGTCAGGGAAAACATTGATATTGGGAGGTGATTAATAATTCCTTTAAGATAAATGTTTTAGATGTGGTCCCTACCTCGGTATTGTAAATAGTAACCTTGTTTTTTGCTACTTACTTTGTTCTTTGCAGCTTACTTTTGACAATCTAACATAGGAAAGGCTCCTCCTCTTTTTTAAATTACATTTTTAATTTTTAAATAATTGTAGGTTCACATGCAGTTGAAAGAAATAACACAGAAAGATTTCATGTACCCCTTACTCAGTTTCTCTCAATAATAAGATCTTGCAAAAGTACAGTACAATATCACAACTAGGATATTCACATTGATACAATCTACCAATCATCCCAATTTCTTCAGTTTTACTTGTACACACTTGTGTGTGTATTTAGTTCCATGCAATTTCATCAGGTGTTGGTTTGAGTAACCACTACCACAGTCAAAATAGTTTCATCACTACAATGATGCTTCATGTTGTTCTTTTAAACCACTAATTTGATCTTCATTTCTTTAATTTTGTCATTTCAATAATATTACATAAATGGAATCATAGAGCATGTAACCTTTCAGGATTGGCTTTTTTCACTTAGCCTAAATCTTTGGTAAGTCATTTACATTGTTGCGTGTCTCAGTAGTTTGTTTCTTTTAATTGCTGAATAGTATTCCATATATGGATGTACCACAATTTGTTTAACCATTCACATGTTGAAGTATATTTGGGTTCTTTCTAGGTTTTGGCTATTATGAGTAAAGCTACCATGAATGTTTATGTATAGTTTTTTTTGGTGTGAATTTATAAGTTTTCACTTCCCTGAGATAAATAAATGCCCAAGAGTGCAGTTACTGGGTCATCTGGTGATTTCATATCATATTTAGTTTGTCGATGTAGGAACATCCAAACCTATAGAGAATTTTTATAAGTTTATTTGAGCCAAACTGATGACAAGCCAGGAAGCAAGATCTGAAATGAAATGCTCTGGAGAGTGACACTTTTTCAGTTTCTTTTAAACATTTGGAATTAAGGAGGGAACTACAGAAGATTACATGAAGGTGAGAGAAAGCTTAAGGCAGAGAACTCTCTGATTGGATTACAGGATAGGAAACAAGATTATGTGTTCCCTTGAAGGCCTTTGAGTTCTGAAAAAGACCATTACTCTGGCATTTCAAAAGTGTGATAACCCAGATGCACAAGGATAATGGACAAGGCTTGCTTAAGGAGAAGATAAAACTTTTACTAAAAAAATTTTATACTTTGGGTGGTAGACAGGCAATAGAATATACAAATGTCAAATTATAATGTACACCTGAAAATTATAGAATTGTATTAACCAATGTTACCCCAATAAACTTAATTAAAAAAAAAAATTATGGCTAGGTGGAAAACCAGAGGAGAGGAGCAATTAGGAGGATCGTTTTTATAAACTACGTAAATGTCTAACCAATGTACTGAATACTTGAAACTAATTTAAGTAAGTAAGTAAGTAAATAAATAAATAAATAAAGTTTTAGGCCTGAGGCTGTGATTACCCACCATGACCTACTCAGGAATTATGATCAGATCACCCTGTGAGGTTACTTTTGGACACTTATTAATTACAGCGCAATCCTATTTTGTTCACAAGTTTTTTAAAGAACAAAAACTGTCAAAAAGTGTTTTCCAGTGCACTGTACCATTTTACATTCCGATAAATGAATGCATCTTTGCCAATATTTTGTGTTGTCACTATTTTTATTTAAACCAGTCCGATAGGTGTATAGCAAAAGGCCCCTTTCAAAGACTAAGCTTGCTTATATTCTAAGTCAAGGGGAACTTGATGGTACTATAGTCTTCTTACTCCTGATATTTTTAGGAACTAGAGGCTGCCATCCAGCCTGATACGAGCCTGGTTTCTGTCATGACTGTGAACAATGAGATTGGAGTGAAGCAGCCCATTGCAGAAATAGGTGAGTATCATGGGTGGACCCTGATGCTTGCTCAGCACTGGGATTCATCAGAACATCTCTTTATTGTGCTCAGTTAGAGCAAGAGACTCACCATTTAACCTCTTAGTCACATTAGCAAATAGATCTGTTAATCTTCGCCTTTTAAATCAAAAAGGATCTAAAATTTAATCTGATTTTTTGAAAGGCCAGGTAAGAAGAGTTGTGCATCCCTACATCAGGGGTGTTTCAATTTGGTTCTTTGAACTTGATTTCATTTATTCTAGTCAAGAAAGCTAGAGCTGAGAGAGAGAAGTAATTTACTATATGGCTAGATGCTAATGCCAGATGCAGTTTTGTCTTAGAACTCATGGTACCTTGTGGGACCACTGCCAGCTGACTTCCCAACATTGTGCTATGGTTCTTTCCCTCTGTTGTTTCCTCAGGGCGGATTTGCAGTTCCAGAAAGATATATTTCCATACGGATGCAGCCCAGGCTGTTGGAAAAATCCCACTTGACGTCAACGACATGAAAATTGATCTCATGAGTATCAGTGGTCACAAAATCTATGGTCCTAAAGGTACCAAGCCCTCCTAGAGTACCTCTGCTCTGTACTCCTGGTAAACCCTTTGACACATATTCCTTGGACTCATTTGGGACTGCCATTGTTCTCAGAGGAAGTTGTAAATTCAGAGTGCCTTGCAGAATGCAGGTGTCATTTAGCAATAGTCAGGGATACTTGCCTATTTGTAGATCCTTGTGGTTACTATGTAGCAGACCATTCTACCCTGTTCTCTTTACAAAATCCTTAGCATGTAGACATTTAGTTTAGGAACAGGGGGTTTTGTCACATCGAATTTTGCTACATAAGTCCAGCTACCTTGTCTGCTCCTATGATACGTAGAGCAATATTTTTTTAGTCCTTTAAACCCCCCACCTCCACCCTCCAGTATCTTACTTTAGCCTAGGGGAAGATTGTGTGGGCTTTTACATCTCTTGGTGTTTGTTCCTAGACTTGTAGTCCGTGCTCCTGTTAGTCTCACAAGAATACTTGTCCATTCCCTATGGTCCTATTAGCCTAGGGATGTTTTCTAGCTAGAATTCTGCCTCTTCACCCCAACCTTTGTGATGATACTGTTCTCTATTTTATGGAGGTACCCATAAAAAAAACAAACAACCCCTCCTCTGTCTTTGGGGTGAGGGCCTGTGGTGGTTGGTTGGTATGCCAGTACACTTTCTATGTCTGCAGGGTGTATCATCTGGGTATATGTACACCCTGTGGAAAAAGGTATGATAACACCTGGAAGTATGTAAGATGGCTTTTTCTAAAGGTTTCCAGAGGTTGCAGAGAGTGTTTTTGTGAACTGTTATTTTAAAAAGCCCAACAGCAATGCTATATTTAACTAAAATGTTGCCTTTACTGGCTTTAATTGAAGATATATGTATTTGGATAAAACCAATTAACTCATATTGAGCAGAGTTCTGATCTGTGCTTAAATGTGTACAGGTATCATTGACAATCCAAAGTCTTGCTTTCTGAACTCAGGATCTAAGTAGATTTAGGTAACATTTTTTCCTTCAGTATCTAGACATGGAATCTGAGCATTTGCTCTCTGAATTTGGGAACTGCAGAGATTCAGATAGTGTTGGATGCTTGAATTTGATTTTCTTTTTAATGAGAAAATGAACAAATTATTTTAAAACTCGGATCCTTCATAATAAATTTAGGAACCACTGCTTTAATTTTTATTAATCTCTGCCTAAATAGTTGTTCTGTGTGAGAGAAGATGAACTTCATCAAGGACTCACTCTATTCAAAAACCCTTGATTACTTAGTGAATATCTTTGCACATTCATGTTCATATTTTGGTATGAAATTCCAGTAGGTAGGTTTGCTGAGTCACAGGCCATACGTATTTTTAAGTTTTGATAGACCCTGGGAGATTGTGCTATTTTTTTACTTCCATTTTTATTCTATTTAGGCAAGGTAATATATTCACATGGTTCCAAATTCAAAAGCTACAAAAAGGTACAGGGTAGAAAGTCTTTTACCTCCATCTCCCAGCCGTGTAGTTTTCCCTTTGGGGAGGCAGTTTCTTGAGTATTTTTCCAGAATTATTCTATTTGCAAACACATATATACTTCCCCTCCTCCCTCTCTGTTTTTTTACTCAAAAGATAGCATACTATACTCATTGTTCTGTGTTTGTTTGTTTTTTTAACCTAACAGTACATCTTCTTTTTAAAAAAAAACTGAAGTATAGACTTTATTAAGATTTCACCAGTTTTCTAACAATGTATCTTGGAGATTTTATAGTGGCAGTACAGGAGCTTCTTCATTCTTTTACCCACCTGCTTTATATTTCATCATATGGATGTATTGTAATTTATTTGCCCTTTCCCCTAATGATGGGCATCTAAGTCGTTTCCTCTTTTTTTGATATTATGAATAATGCTGCATTGATTTCATTTAACATAAGGAGCTACTTTAAACTTAAAATGACCAAAAGGTCATTACTTCTTCTGGTAGTTATCCCCCTGATGTTAAATAATTTTGATAAGTATTATGCTTTTACTGCTGTTTTTTCTTTTCTTCCAACTTTTTTTATTTTGAAAGATTTTAAGCTTATAGGAAAGTTTAAAGAATATTTTGACCCTTTCAGAAAGTGATATTGTGTTTCATATGCATTTTTCTTTTTCTCTTTTTTGTAACAAACTTTGTTTCCCAGGGGTTGGTGCCATCTATATTCGCCGCCGGCCCCGCGTGCGTGTGGAGGCCTTGCAGAGTGGAGGGGGACAGGAGCGGGGTATGCGGTCTGGGACAGTGCCCACACCCTTGGTGGTGGGGCTGGGGGCTGCGTGTGAGGTGGCACAGCAAGAGATGGAGGTATGGAGAAAGCATTTCCCTCCCTCAACTTCTTCCCCTGTGCTGGGTCTCTTATCGGAGGCTTCTTGGCATGACTGAGTCAGATCTCTGCCAGAAGAGGAGGTTTTAAGAACACTATCCTTGACCCAGTGCCACTAACATCTTATTCTGAGGGAGGTGTTATGCGCTCTAAAATTCAGGCCCTTTTAGTAATGATCAGTTTGTTTATTTCTGGGTTGTTGGAACCACGTGTCTAGTTATTGAGCATGTTTGCTCGTCAGGCACTATGCTCAGTGCTGGGGATACAGTGGCCTCTATGAGTAACACAGGACAATAGGTGGGTCTGAGGTAGTCACTTATGGGCACGAAGGGCTCCATATCCTGTGTGTTTCTGAGCCGTTGATGGTCACTGTGCTTAGTTCTGCCTTGCCTGCTCCTTAGTATGACCATAAGCGAATTTCAAAGTTAGCGGAGCGGCTAATACAGAAGATAATGAAGAACCTTCCAGATGTGGTGATGAATGGGGACCCTGAGCACCATTATCCAGGTATGAAAATGCCCTTTCTATCACCATTCTGGAAAAGCCTGAGACTGCGAGATTCTTCTTATACTGGTTCTTTCTTCCAGGCTGTATCAACCTCTCCTTTGCATATGTGGAAGGGGAGAGTCTGCTGATGGCACTCAAGGATGTTGCCTTATCTTCGGGGAGGTAAGTTGGACTGGATAGACAGGGACTGTGGCGGGACCGATTAACTTGGCTTTTAAGTTATAACAGATTATTAAGCTTCTCAGTGTGGAGATAACAGGCACAAGAGCTCTCAGTTAAGAGTAAAGGTCATTTTGTAAGTGCCTTTTTTTTTTAGCTGGCTGGGCACAGGCTGAAGTTTGCCACCCTAGGAGGGCTTCCTAGGGTGGAATTTTGTGCCTTTTTGGTCCCAGGAAATGCCTGTATCTGTTCTAGTATTATATTAGCAGTTTTGTTGCAGGCCTTCAGAATTAAAGTATGCTTCAAAGGCCATTCAGGCTGGTACAAGATGGTGCAATCAGTCATAGGGGAGTGAGCACATATTCTGTTGCCTTTTGTTGTCAGACCAGCTCATGTGTTGTCATGCTTTGGTAGTGTCCTTGCTCAAGGAGTTTATCCTCCGTAGAGGCCAGTGCTGGGTTTACATCCTGAAAATGCAGGCAGCATCAGGCCCTTTAGCTCTGCCAGATTAGAATGTGTCTTGTCTCCATGGCATAACTCTAAAGACCTGAGGGGTGGGAGCAAGATTGGGGTTTGGTGCTAAAAGCAGATGTTGATGATGAACTGAGCAAGGCTCTGTATCTTTCTCCTCAGTGCCTGCACCTCTGCATCCCTGGAGCCCTCTTATGTCCTTCGAGCAATTGGCACTGATGAGGATTTAGCTCATTCTTCTATCAGGTTAGTCATTTGAGCTGCAACATTTATGAAAGGCATCCTCTTTTGTATTTTTCATCTCCTGTTGTGGTATTCCTCAATCTGGTTTTCCTTGTCCCTTCTTAATTCATGAAAGTTTCTAGAGCAGTGGTTCTTGGACTTCATTGAATATCACCTGGGAAGTTTGTGTAAGATGAAGATTTCTGAGTTCCACACTCAGAGATTCTGGTTCATTAGGTCTGGAGGAGGAGGAAATTTCTTCTCAGATGGTTCTAATGTGGCTGGTGCACAAACCATATTCCGAGAAACTCTGACCTAGAGGGGAGGGACCATTTTCGCTTCAAGTCTTTTGTGGAATAGATCCTCACTGAGTATTTGCTGAATGAATTTACCCCAGTGCTAGAGCTCTGAAGCAGAATTCTTCTCCTGTGCTTTTTTCAGGTTTGGCATTGGCCGTTTCACTACAGAGGAGGAAGTGGACTACACAGTGGAGAAGTGCATTCATCATGTGAAACGTCTTCGAGAAATGAGGTATGCACTGTTGTACCTGAGACTCTTTGGAAGAAATTGCAGTGCTGACTCCTCTCTTGTCCTCAGGCTCCGTGTTCACACAGCCACAAACCAAAGTTTGAGCATACTTGGATTTTAGGACTTAGAAGTTCTACAAAGCAAGAAAGTAGATCTCCTCAGCTCCTTGTTTCCAAAATAGGGAAGAGTATTTTTAAAAACTAAAGAACTACATAAATTCAGATGTTTTTTGTTGTTACTGATAGTATTAATATTTGTCATTGCAGCAATATCAATACAAAATTAGTTATTTATAGATTAAATATAGGAAAACTTCCTTTTAGATAGGATCCTTGGCCTAGGAACCAATGTTGGCTTCCTAAGCCCTCACTCATCCAATACCTCTTTTCTTTGGCAGCCCCCTCTGGGAGATGGTGCAGGATGGCATTGACCTTAAGAGCATCAAGTGGACCCAACACTAGCAATATGGGCCTCTGACTTTGTGCTGGTCTGGCAGCTCCTGCCTCATCAACCCATGCAGAGTCTGGTACCTTGTTATACCCAGTGGATGCTCCATGTTCAAACCAGAATTAGTAGAGCCAAGCTGACTTCAGCATCAGCCCATCCAAGACAG